CCCCGATCTTGTCCCTGGCCTTGTTGGAAGGATTCATCGGGTTCTTTTTTGATCTTCACACGTAATCTAGATCTTCTGTTTTGAAACCAAGTTTGAACTCTCGACTCAGGAACTCCAATTTTCTTAGCAAGCTGTTCTCTGCAATGGATCCCAGGGTAGGGGTTTTTCTTGAAGGCCTTGAAGAGGGTGCACAGCTGAGAGGGGCTGTAGGTGGTGTGGGGCCCTCGAATCTTTTTATTCAGAGTCCCTTCTAGAAGGAAATCTTTCCCTGGGCCTTGCCTGGATTGCAGGGCCTCCTTAAGTTTTCGTCCTTCCAGAAAGAAGGATCTAGCTCTGCGATTCTGAAACCAAACCTGGATTCTTGACTCTTCAACGTTGATTTCCAAAGCAAGTCTTTGTCTGGTAGCATAATGTGAGTATGGCTTTTGGTTAAAGGTGTTGATGAGGATTGTCAGCTGCTCTTTGGTGAATTTAGTGCGATTGCGCATATGATTCCCTAGCATAGGCCCATTTGAAGAGCTGTCTTGCGCCATGGTGGAAGAGTCCCAATGGCCAAGAATTCATCCAAAAGTTAGAGCAGGACTTGAAGGAGTTATAGATCCAAGAGAGAAACTTGGTTTCAGATGATGCCAAAATAAAAACAAAAGGAATAGAGGCCTTTTTTGTTGTGCAATTTCAGATAGTATAGCCCATAGCAAGGAATATACAAATAAATCACTAGTATTACCTTTGTGTCTAAAATAAAATGTGATAGGAGAAAGAAAACTGACTATAATTTATAGTCTAAAGAAAAAGGAGATATGAGTGGATTAAAAAATAGAGATAAATCTGAAATGAGAGCTCAACGTGAAGAAAGATGGAGAGATTACTAAGACACATGTTAGGACTCCCATCTGTGAATGAATCCTGTCATTGCCCTTTGATGGGCCTCTGCCCTCACCTCCTCCTCCATGTCCCTGCAATGTTCTTAGGTTAGCAGGGTCAGGGTTGACTCCTTGATGAGGTGGTGGAGGGCTCAGGTGCTGCCCTAAGCACCTCCATCTTGGGCCTCTCAGACTCCACCTGCCTCTAACACTTTCCCTCTAGCCCACTCTGTTCTAATGTCACCTTGGAGTCCAGGAACAACAGGTCTGATTGAGAAGCATCTGTATGACTAGGGAACCAAGCTACTCCCAAGTGACAGGAAACCTMCCAGAACTGATCACCCCATGATGAGACTGCCCGCTCAATGAAAGCAATTGCCCCATTGTCGAGCTATGGCTGAGGCTAGGACCTTAAGCAGGTCCCATCTCACTATGAGAATTGAGTYGTCCCCTCAAGTGATGATGACCTTCCTTCCAGATCTTCATAGGACCAGTTCTGAGGTAATGACCAACCAGATAAGGACCAAGATAACCCATTCTGCCAGCTATGCAAATCCCCAGCCCTGGCCTTTGTTCTCCTTCCTTTCTATTAGGCCCCAAAGTTTTTGTCAGCCCCTTGAATACAGACCTTCAGTCACTGAACTGTTATACCCATTTTTCCTGGCATGATCACATTGATTAAAGCTCATTTTTTTTTTTTGTCTTTCACCAATGTTCATCTCTTCATTTGGCATCTTGGGACTGGTACTAAGCCTACTCTGTTGGGACGCCAGAGCAGGACCTTCACCTAGGACCCCAGTAACAAGGTTGCAAAAAAAATTGGATCAAGTAGGCACAGTCCTTCCTAGGGCCCATAGGACACTCRGAAGAACCCTGTGAGAAAGGGCATGACCTGGCAAGTCATGTTCTGTCAATTCTTGTTTTTCTCTCTGGAGTGTAAAGAAAAAAGAAAAAGGTATCAGTAAGGTGTGATTTGGACCTYGCCTCTGAAGCATAAGAGTTTCAGACTTTTTGATCACGGGAAACAAATTGGTTTGGAGACACAGATTTGAGCAAGGAATGAATCAGGGAGCCGGGCAGGCTGATGCTAGACAGATACAATGGTTTGTCTCTGAGTATTTTATAAATCTCTCTAACTGCTGCTAAACAACCTGTAGAAGCTCATCTGAACTGCAGTAAGGGGAAGTTAGGGTTAGAGTCTAAGCCTGTGATGAGGGCAGAGCACTCAGCCCCCTTCTAAGACTGAAGAGCAACATCAGCAGTGTCCCCTGGCAGAGGAGAGGAAAGCAGCCAGAAGTAGCCTGACCTTCAGGGTCACCTGCAGCAGAGGAGGCCATTGGAAGACAAGATCATCTTGGCAGAACCTGAAGATTTACTTTTGGGTAAATATAGAAAAATACAAAGGAGAATTAGTTTTTAATCAATGAAACAATTAGTTTTTAATCAATGAAACAAGTAGATCATGTCACATACAAGCTATTAACTTCCTTGGTAGCTCTAGGATCATCAGGCTAAAAGCAATCATTTGGGCTAAGTTTTCACATTTGTGTTTCATACAAATTATTTTCAGTTGTGGTTTTAGAGGCTTTTCTCTGAAATCAGGAAATGATGTAGAAAGGTAAAGTCTTTAATTTCTTTAAAAAAAATTATCCTGTTCTTAGTTTATGGCACTCCTCCTTTGCAAGCCTTGCCTTTGGGATGCTTTCTTTTGTTCTTCTTGAACTGGTTTTGCTAAATACAGAACCAGTTTARTCCAGTGTGGAAGCACATAGCCTTTGTAGAAAGACATCTCACTTTCTCCAACTTTGAAACTGGTTAACTAACAGCCCTTATCAGCAACTAAAAGCCTCCCACAGAAGACAAGTAAAGTGATTGAGAAACCCATAAAAAGCCAGAAAAAGAAAGCTGGATAAAGTGAAAACAAATTTCAACACAGGTCTCCACTGATCTGCACAGTAAATAWAAAAACCTAACATGTTTATTGGCCTTCTTTTGATTATATGTCATTATTATTACACAGTTTTCACATCTACTACTTCCTTCCTAGTTGGAACCTTCCAGTAAAATACTGGAATGGAGGCATTTTTAAAGATAAAGAGGCACCACAGCACTCAGATTTTAAACTTATAAAGTTATAAGTTTTTCAGGGTTCACTTGGGATTATGCCATACACATAAACAATGAGAGTCCTTTAAAAAAAAACTTTGACTTTATAAAATATTTGTCTAAATTTTGTTCAATAAAGGAACTGGGCATCTTTAAATAGCTATGGATATCAAAAGCCTTATCAGAAGATAATCAACTAGTTAAAARTAAATATAACCAATGAAATAAGTGCAAGTCTTATTTCAATTCCAAATGTACTTTTGTATTAAACTGCGTTTCTATATTTAGATGCAATAAGATTGAAGTAATGAGAGCCATTCATTCTGAAAAAAGAAAACTTGAGATCATGATTTTTAATCATCAAATATTGCAAAATTATTACATGGAGGAAAGAGTTTACTTCCTTGGTAAAACCCAAAGTCAGAATTCAGAAACTGCCAGGATTTTTTTAAAAGCCACAGAAAGAAATATTATGGGTAAATACAATTGAGAATATTATTACTAAAAAAGAAAAAAAAACTATCCAATTTTGGGATTGGTTATAACAAGACTGAGGTCCTTGTCACCTTCAAACATGAGACACTAAGGTATTTCAATGTTCTCTAAAACATGGGGCTAGGAATATAGCTCAGTGGTAGAGCATGTGCTTAAGTATGGGCAAAGCCCTAGGTGTATCATCAGTGTATGTCACATACATACAGACACACACACACACACACACACACACACACTCACAAAGAAAAAAATCTTGAAATTACTGATCTTTGTATGTATTTAGCACTAGAAACCTGTATTGAAAACAGAATCTTAATTTCTGGGTTCCCATAAAAATAAGAGCAATTTCAAATATCAAAATCTCACTATAATACCCTTCAAAAACCATACTAATAAACAGAACACAAATAAAAACTCAGCTGTTTTTTTTT